TGTGGGCATCTCCATCCCTGGCTGGGATAAGGCCCTGGCCTGCCAGAAGCAGCCAGAAATCCACTCTGAAGGAATGGAGCATCATCCAGCCTCAAACCACTCCAAGTTCTCACACACCATATTCAGAACACAATGGACGCACAGGCAGAGGCCGCCGGACACTGGGTACGCCCCATGGGAAGCAACAGGAGCTGCACAACACCACACAAGCCCAGGCCTGTACAGGCAAGGCAAGTACCCTACCACTGAACTGCACCCCAGGCCCTCAACCTGAATCCTAACAGCTTACAAGAAATACAAGGAATGGAGGAGCATGTTCAGCGAGATCCTGGAGATGGAACCAGCCACATCCAGAATGTGGAAACTGTAGAGGACAGATACCTCGGCTTCCTCAACAAGAAAGTGGGGAGGGGGATAGAAGTTCAGTGGGTTAGACCCAGGGGAATGAAGGGAAGGGAGGGGGAAGGGAGTAGGACAGTCAGGAGAAGGAATCAGATGTCACTTGCCCATGTTCATGTATGAATGAATACAGAACCAGTGAAACTCCACGACACGTTTGGCCACAAGAACGGGAAGCTCTACTCCATGTATGTGAGGTATGTCAAATACCCCTACTGTCACGTGTAACTAGGAAGAACAAATTAAAAAATTAAAAAAGAAAGTGGCAGAGGAAAGTGGGAGAAGGAGTGTTTTAAACTTAAAGAGCCTTTAGAAGAATATCAACCAAACACAATATGAGGACCTTATTTGGATCCTGATTCTAACCAACAACAGTAAAAAGACATGGATGTGACAACTGGGGACATTTAAATCTTGCCTGATAAAAAGGAACGTGTGTGAGAGAGAAATTTTGTTGTTGTTGTTGTTTTAGTTGTAGTTTTGTAGTTGGACACAATACCTTTATTTTATTTTATTTTTATGTGGTGCTGAGGAACAAACTCAGTGCCTCAGCACATGCTAGGCGAGCGCTCTACCTCTGAGCCACAACCCCAGCCCCCATGATTTGGTTTTATTTTACTATTTATTTGTTTTGTGACAAGATCTCACTGTGTTGCCCACTAAGAATTGCTGGGGATGTGGCTCAGTAGTTAAGCAACCCCTGGGTTCCATCTCCAGTACTACTATTACTACTACTACTAGTACTACTACTACTATTACTACTACTACTAGTACTACTACTACTACTAAAAATAATGATCCAGTGGAGGAGGGAGAAATGAGAGGGGCTCTAAGTGAAACCAAATATGTTCAAGTTAATAACTGATAAAAACGAATGACTGACACATGGGGATTTGTTTTATCCCTCTCTCTCTCTTTTTAAGTATGCTTATAATTTTTATAATAAAACCACAAACATATGAAGCGAGGGCTGGGGTTGTGGCTCAGTGGTAGAGCACTTGCCCAGCATGTGTGAGGCCCTGGGTTTGATCCTCAGCACTACATAAAAATTAAAAAAAATAATAAAATAAATAACACAGTGTGTCCATCTACAACTACAAAAAAAAATTTTTTTTTTTTTTTTTTTTTTTTTTTTTTTTTCTAAGAGAGAGGGAGGGAGAGAGAGAGAGAGAGAGAGAGAGAGAGAATTTTTTTTTAATATTTATTTTTTCAGTTTTTGGCTGACACAACATCTTTGTTTGTATGTGGTGCTGAGGATCGAACCCGGGCCGCACGCATGCCAGGCGAGCGCGCTACCGCTTGAGCCACATCCCCAGCCCACAAAAAAAAATTTTTTAATTATGAAGAGAAACTACAGGCATATGAGGACAAAAGACAATCTGGGTGAAAACTAGGAAGAAACAAAAATGGAAAATAAAGATCCACAGAGGATACAAATAATGGAGTCATTAAGCATGGATTTAAAAATAAGTATGCATAATATCCAAAAAAAAAAATACTAAAACACAAGATGGGGAATTTAACAGAAAACTAAAAACTGTCAAAAAGAAGCAGAAATTCTTCTAAAACTAAAAATACAGTTGCTCTCCCTTGATCACAGAATACAGAAGCAGCTTGATGACTCTCTGCCAAATTGGATGTGGGCCCCGGCACCCAGTGGCACAGTCAGGGTTGGGCAAATGGTCGGAGCACAGAGACAGGTTCTCCCTAGAATTCCACCAAACAGTAGCTCCCGCAGCTCAGGGTCTGGAACAGAAGAGGCTGCAGCCGTCGGAGCCCTCAGACCTGGACAGACTCCCTGAGGGTGGCCTTCGGTGTCATGCCTCACTCGCGGGCCGCCCGAGTCCCGGACACGAGGGAAGCTTCCTGAAAGCTGGAGGCTTCAGTGTCTTGGCTTCCATCGTGATGGTTTTGGTGGGGACGCCTGTCCTGTGTGGGAGCTGAGGACGGTCAAACACTGAGGACCTTGGAGGATAGAGAGAAAAGAACACGGGGAACAGAAAAGGCGTTAGTGAAACCAGAAAACCCACACAGAAGAGTGAAGAACCATTACCTTCCCACAAGTCGCACCCGCCAATCTGCTCACCAGAACAGGGAGGTAAAGAGGAGGGTGTTATCAAAAAGAAAGTCAAGAGCCAAGATTAAAATCAAAGTGGGAGGAGCAGGAGGAGGAGGAGGAGGAGAGATGTTCCTGGTAAGAGGAGACTTCTATGAAGAAGTAAAAGGATAAGAAGAAACATGTGGGCAGGCGTGGTGGTGCATACCTGTAATCCCAGCAACTCAGGAGGCTAAGGCAGGAGGATGGAAAGTTGGAGGCCCCCCAGGGGCAATTCAGCAAGACCCTGTCTCAAAACAAATAAGAAGGTCTGGGGATGTAGCTCAGTGGTAGACTGCCCCTGAGTTCAGTCCCCAGTGCTGAGAAGAAAAGAAATACATAAAAGAAGTGCCACTTTCTGAAGAAGAGTCACGCGTCTGCATAGCACTTCCCAGTCCAGACGAAAGGGCCAGAGAACAAGGACCAAGGGTGAATCACCAGGACGCTTCATGTTTAAGATTCAGCCAGGAGCCGGGCGCATTGGCCCACGCCTGTAATCCCAGGGGCTGCAGAGCCTGTGACAGAGAACTTAAACAAGTACTTCTTCCTCACGGTTCTGAAGGTTGGAGAATCCAAGATCAAATCACCAGTAGACTCCATGGTAAGGACCCGCTTCTTGGCTCTCACAGTGTCCTCTAATGGTAGAAAGGGGAAAAGCTCCCTGTTCTTTGGAGTCTTTTCTTTCCTTTTTTTTTTGACACTAGGGGCACTTTACTACTATGTACCCCAGGCCTTTTAAATTTTTATTTAGAGACAGGGTCTCACTAGATTGCTTTGAGCCTAAGTTGCTGAGGCTGGCTTTGAACTTGCGATCCTCCCGCTTCAGCCTCTCGGACCCCTGAGATTACAGGCATGCACCACCATACCCAGCGAAGGTCAGGATTTCAATATAGGGATTTTCAGTAGGCACAAACATTCTGTTGACAGCAGTTATAGTTATAGATAGTGGTGATGGTTGCACAACATTGTGAATGTATCTAATATCACTGAATTATACACAAAACATGGTTAAAAGCGCATATTTTATGTTATGTTAAAAATTATATGGCTGGGGGTGTTACTCAGTGGTAGAGCATTTGCCTAACATAGACTGTTGAACCACAAAGAAACATTCTGAACCACAAACACCAGAAGATTGACAAGGGGTTTTTGACTTTCAAAGAAGCTTTCCTGAGAACCTGCACATTTCTCTGTAGGAAAATCATATAAAGGGCTCAGATACAGATCAGTGGTACAGTGCTTGCCCAGCATGTCAAGGCCCTGGGTTCCATCCTTAGTAATCCGCACCCCTCCCCCACAATCACGTACAAAGTCAGAAAGCTCAATCCTGTGTCACTCCTCTTCAAGATGCCAGAGGAGAGGGACGCCCACAACCTGCCTTAGGGGCATGTACACCTTTACTGGCCTTTAATTAATCTTTACTTGTGCCTTGCCTTTGACACATCCTGGAATTCTTTTCAGCAGCCATAGAAACCTGAGCCAAATTGAGGTTCCATTGCCCCTTGGAAGAACCTCATTGAACCCCTGTCTAAAGACTATCTACCCCGCCCCCCAGGATCAGAAGCCCCAGTCTTTAAGATCTCTAATCAGATAATGCTTGGACCAACATACTTTGGACAAGAAAGGGCCTTGAAACTTCATGCCCTCCATCCTCCCGCTGACTCACAAGAGAAGATCCATGGTCCAAGGAGCCCACGTTTGCTGCCCAACATCCTGCTGTGACTTACTTGCCATTTTTCCTTCTCTAGTCAGAAATATGAGGGGCTGTTAGATCCAGTGCAAGTGACCCCAGGTGCCACTGGCTACTGTGCCTCCAGGGACGAGGGTCCTGAAGTCACCTGCTGCTGGTGAGGGGGTGGACTGCGGCCACACTGCAGCACCTCCCTTAGCACAGGGCCATGCTCAGCTGACATCACAAGCAGAATGCAGGGGCTGGCTGCACTTTAATTGTGACATCGGGGAGCAAAGCTGGGGCAGACCAGCAGCCAAAGGAAAAGGTAAGAGCGTGGTCACTAGGCCCCAAGAGCAGCGAGGCCCGTAGGTTGCTGTAGGACGGAAAAGGCTGCACACCGGAGGGACTTGCAGGAAGCAGGGGCAGAGGCCCAGAGGGTCAATCCCTAAAACTCTCTGGACAATGAATCTGGAAATTCTCTGAACTTTATACCCAGTGAGAGAGAGTGGCTTGAAGGTTTACATGAAAAGTGCTTTTTGTTCCCTTTTTTAAAACTAGACAGAGGTTTTACAAGTTTTTTTTTTTTTTTCTGCAAATCCGGCATTTACAAAAAGAGGAAGCTACAAATCACAATGCCCTCTGCAGAAGTTTTTTTGCTGGTATACTGTATAAAAATCTTTCTGACAAGAAGAGAGGCTTACTTATGGCAAGGGTCTTTTGGGTGGGGGTACCTGTTCTGCTTCAGGGTGGGGGACCTGGTGAGTGGGGCTGGGGCGAGGCGCCCAGGCTGAGTGCCCAAGGTCCTTTCCTTCTCAACACAGGGCAGCAACGGATATGGCTCTCCCTGACATGCAGCAAGTTTCACGTGAGTCCTTGTGCCTCTCACCTCCTCCAAGCACCAAGGCAGTGGGTGAAACACCTTCCTACCCCCCTCTGCCCTCTTGCCCACAGTTGGGACTGGGACAAGAACACAGTCCCCAATGTATGCCTCCCATTGGTTTAGTGACACAGTCCAGTTGCCCCATGGCAAACAGCTGCTGCCAAGAGGAGCACAGTTGTACCCCTGCAGCATGACTCCAGTGAGGCTTTGCTCTGTCTCCCCAGGACCAGCCCAGGACCAAGTCCCAGCCCCACAGCTCCCCGCCTTGCCCTCGAGACCTTCCCAAGGCCAGCTCCTGTTGAATAACACCACCGCTCTCCGCACATTCGAGGACCAAGTCCTGTGTCCCATTTGCTTGGAGGTGTTCCATAACCCGGTCACCACTGCCTGTGGCCACAACTTCTGCATGACCTGTCTCCAAAGTTTCTGGGACCACCAGGCTGCCACAGGGGAGACCCACTATTGCCCCCAGTGCAGAGAGAGCTTCCCCTCCAGGCCCCGGCTCTGCAAGAACGTCGTCCTAGGGGAGATGGTGGCCTGCTTCACCCAGGGTAAGAACCAGGCCACGGGGCCCTTGTGGAACACAGCTGGGCCCAGGGACGTGCCCTGTGACTTCTGCTCCCCCCAGAAGCTCCGGTCTGTCAAATCGTGCCTGCACTGTGTGGCCTCTTTGTGTGAGAAGCACCTGCGCAGCCACTTTGAAGACCAGATGTTCCACAGCCACCAGCTGCTAGAGCCTGTGCAGGATCTCAAGACCCGCTTGTGCCGCAAGCACCGCAAGCTCTGGCAGCTGTACTGTCGCACGGAAGGCTGCTGCGTGTGTGGCGCCTGCCTACTAGAGGAACACAAGAACCACGAAACGGCCCCACTGGAGGAGGAGCGAGCCCGCAAGGAGGTGAGGTGGCAGGAGCAGGGAGTGGGGGGCTCTCAGCTCACATCCTAAGAGGAAAATTATGCAGCTAAAGCTGAAGGTGGTGGCGTGTGCCTGCAGTCTCAGCTATTCGGGAGCTGAGGCAAGAGGATCACAAGTTCCAGAGCCTGGGCAACAGAGCAAGACCTTGTCTCAAAAACAAAAACAAACAAAAAATCCCGCAGTTGATGAAGCAATAGTCAGCAGGATTGTGTCATGACATGAAAAGGCTGTTGAGGGGGCTGGGGTCAGAGCTCAGTGGCAGAGCGCTTGCCTAGCACATGCGAGGGCCTGGTTCTATTCTCAGCACTGCATATGAATAAAATAAAGGTCCATTGACAACTTAAAAAAAAAAGGCACTGTTAAGTTAATAGGATGCAGAATTGTATTGGGGAGGGACCCAAGAACTTTTCAGTCTATTTCAACATTATCAAGGTACAAATAAAGCCAGGCATGGTAGCACATGCCTATAATCCCAGCAATTTGGGAGGCTGAGGCAGGAGGATTACAAGTTTAAGGCCAGCTTCAGCCACTTGGCAAGACCCTGTCTCAAGTTAAAAAAGAGAGTGTAGCTCCGTGGTAGAGAGCCCCTAGCTTCTGTTGCTATTACAATAAAAAAATACAGGAGTACAAACACATCTGTCCTTTTCCCTACTTTTGAATTTTATTGAATATAGTTGGATGAGTTTTTAAGAGAAATCCTTATATTTTAGATACCCTGACTTATATATTATACAACAGTGCTGTTCCCACAGAGCCACTGCTCAGCCAGACAAGACACTTGTGTCAGAATGTAAACCGACTGCATCACTAAATTCACCATTTAGTTTGAGGAACACTTTTTTTCCCATTGCTAGACTGTCTCAAAGAAGGAAGCACTATGTCAATTTAAAAAAAAAAATTGTAGTTGTAGATGGACACAGTGCGTTTATTTTACTTGTCTATTTTTATGTGGTGCTGAGGATTGAACCCAGGGCCTCACAACCAGGCAGGGGCTCTGCCACTCAGCTACAGCCCCAGCCACCACATCAATTTACAGTCTGACCAGCAACCGTCTGTGGACAGACACTTGCCAAAGCACTGTTCTGTAATCTAACAATGCAAATGCCAGTTCTGGAAGAGGTGGAAATGATAGGCTCGTGTAGAAGGACTTGGGCCTGGCAGTATGGCTCTGGGGAATGCAGGTGGCTGTGGGACTGCTATCCCTCACCAGGCCCAGTGAAACCTTCACAGCCCCTTCCTGTGGCCTGAAACCATGGTCATCACTGTTAGGAGCAGTGAACCTCATTCCTATGAATGGCATAGGCTCTCAGTAGGTGAGAGACCAGGAGCAGAGGGGTATGGGCCAGGCCCATCCACCCTTTGGCTCTGGTCTTTTTCATTACCCTTGAGGCCAGCAGATGAATGCAAGAGGTACGTCTATCTCTTCTGGGCTTGGACAGGGGATGCTTGGAGCAGGGCTTCTCCAAGGCCCCTTCTCTGAATCAGGGCCCCTCCTTCTCCCCCTACCCCAGATGGAGGTTCGGAAAGTCCAGGCCAACGTGGAGAACGAGATGCTAATCATTGCCTCCGACAGCCAGAAGCACCAGGGGCGAGTGACCTTTCTCTCGGTAAGGTGGACCTGTCCCCACCCCAGGCCCCGGCTGCCCCAGCACCCTGCATCAGGCTGAGGGCCCTCTTGGGACCTGAAAAAGGGGGGTCTAGGTCTAGGATGGTGGGGTAGGAAGAAAAGGTGGACAGACAGGGCCATGACAGTAGGGTACAGGAGTGCGGATCAAAGATGCCTGTCAACTCACCCACCCAGAAACTCATCCAGACGATGCGGGATGAGGTGAACACCTGCTTCTCCGAGATCATCCACGAGATCAAACAGCTGCAGATAAAGGTCTTGGATTTCGTGGAGAAAGAGGAGGCAACTGCCCTGGGGAAGCTGGGCAGCTCCATCCAGCAGAGCCACAACCGGCTTCTGAAGCTAGAGGGGGACAGTGTCTGGCTCCACACCCTGCTCACCAACAGAAGTGATGAGCAATTCCTGCAGGCAAGACCCTACCCTGGCTCCGGCCCTGCTGCCTCTCCATGCTCCCTCCACCCTCAAACACACCAGATCTGCCCAGACCTCAGAAAAAGTGAGCAGCGTGTGGGGCTGCATCACTTTGTCTATTCCCCTGCCTCGGGGAGCCCCAGGTCACCATCCTGAGCATACACCAACACTCTCGGTTTCTTGCTTCTCCACACAGCTCAGCCTTATCCTTCCTTTCCTGCCTTGAATTCCATGGAACGGTGGGTATGCCCTAGGATTCTGGGTATCTTAAGTTTTTCCAGTGTCAGATTGAGACTCAGAAAATCCATTGATCAAAATCCCTTTTCCTCCCCAGCCCTGGCCACATGGCCTGGTGGTGCTGCTGCAAGAATGTAGTGGGTTGGTGTACAGCTTGCATGCGGCTGGCCAGAAGGTGGTTGCATGCGGCTGGCCAGAAGGTGGCAGCAGTCTTCTCTGTGGGTGGGGCTCAAATCCTGCTCATAAACCTATCTTTCTTTCTTTCTTTAATTTTTTTTTTAGTTGTCAATAACCTTTATATCTTTTTTAAAAAATTTATATGCAGTGCTGAGGATCAAACCCAGTGCTAGGCAAGCACTCTACCCCTGAGCCACAACCCCAGCCTAGACCCCCTTTCTTAAACTGCTACCACATACCTGGGCAAGATTTCTAGGAATATTGTTCACCTTGCCCCCCACTCCCCCGTCCCCAAACAACAGGACACATTTAGCAGTGGTTTTCAATAAGCAAGTCAAGGTTTAAAGGGAATCCTCCAATCGTTCCCTCAGTGTCCTAAACCAGAGTTCTGGTCTTTGGGAGAATCCTAACCTCAGATGTCCAAACAACTAGGAAGAGGGGAAAGAGGTGTCCGGGTTTGAAAACAGACAACCTCCAGTTGCCTGTGGTCCTGGGGGTCACTGGGCCCTTGCTGTGAGTAAGAGCCCCTGGCACCTGCCTGGTCCCCAGCTGACAGTGTTAACACCTGCCCCTCCCTGCATGGCAGGAGTTCCCCAAACTGAAGCATATCCCAGTCTCCGTGGAACCCCTGATGGGCACCAGCTGTGAGGAGACACAGAGCTTCCTCCAGCTGCCAGAGACCCTGGCTGAGCTCCGGACCCAGCTGGTGGACATGGGTCTCAGCTTCGTCAACCAGCTCCTGATGAAGGGTCAGTCTCTGGTGACCTGGGGCCTGCATTCCAGGGCGTGGGACCGCCCTGCAGGGCAGTGGTTATGGAGCTTTCCTGCCTGAGTGCACCTTCCCCAGGTGACACAGTCTCCTGGAGCCCATGCCTCTTTCCAGGAGGATGGGCTATAAGAGGGTCCTCAGCAAAGCTCCTCCATCTCCCCAGGCATTAGGATGAACTCCTACGAGGTGCTGCCACTAACCATGGACAGGAAAACACTCCTCCAATGTGAGTCCTTGGAACCGGGCAGAGCCTGAGGGAGAGGGGAGCAGGGTCCCTGATGCCTCAACTACCCAGTCCTACTTGCATTCAGGCCAGGCCCTCCAGGGTGTGGCCTGACCTCTCACTCCACACTGGAGATCTCAAAAGGACTTGTCCCAAGCCCTAGGTCCTGGTAGGAAGGGGAGGAGACCCTGTCCCATCCTGCCTCAGAACCAGCTCTGGTGTGGCTTCCTGGACCCTGTGTGGCAGGACATCTGCCTCCAGCTGGGGCTTAAGCTGAGCCAGAGTGAATAGGCTCTGTCCATGTCTTCCTCAGACACACACTCCCCATTCATTTGCTGTTCCTGTAGCCCCTCACCCACGTTGGCCTGGGGCCAAATCCCAAAGGCTTCTCTGAGACGTTGAGCTTAAAGGTTGTATTGTCTTTGCTGTCCCCCTCTGGGTCACTCTCCCTCAGTCTTTACTTAGCTTTGTTTCCTAAACAAATAAAGAGGGAGATTACTTGGGGATCTAGTGGGAGAGGCAGGGGGACTCCCGGCCCTGGGCGGCCAGGCCAGAGTTGGGGGGTTAACGGGGCTGGATGGAGGGGCCACTCCTGGGAGCCATGGAATTTAGCACCCCTCTTCCCCCAGAGACCTCCATCCCTCTTCCCCGAGGGCGCTGACCCAGGCTCCACTCCCCCCACCGCCAGGTTACTGCAACCTGAACTTCGACCCCTCCACCGCCAGCGAGGAGCTGTTCCTGTTCAAGGAGACCCACTCGGTGCTGAACCTGGGCATCCTCCTGGAGCCCTCGGCCACGGGCGGCCCGGTCCCGGGCTTCAAGCAGTGGCCGCAGGTGCTGTGCTCCCGCGGCCTGTCCGAGGGCCACTACTACTGGGAGGCGGAGGTGTCCTACTCGTGGATGTGCCTGGGCGTCACCTACCGCCGCAGCCCGCAGCTCAACGGCGTCCCGCGCCGCAACATCGTCTACCTGCTGGGCCGCAACCCCTACTCGTGGTGCCTCGAGTGGGACTCGCTCAAGTTCTCCGTGTGGCACAACAACACGCAGACGGTGCTGCACGGCGCCTACCACCGCACGCTGGGCGTGGCGCTCGACTGCGCCGCCGGCTGCCTCTCCTTCTACGGCGTGGCGGGCGGCGTGAGCCTGCTCTACCGCTTCCTCGCCACCTTCCTCGAGCCGCTCTTCCCCGCGGTCATGGTCAGCAGCGGCGCCTCGGTCACGCTCAAGCAGCGCCCCGACGCGTAGGCGGCACCCGGCCGGCTCAGGGTGACGGCCAATAAAGCTGGACTCCGAGCGCTGGCTGGGCAGAGCCGCAAAGGGAGGGTGGCCGGCCCCGTGTGGTCCCCTGCGTCCAGGGTGGAGGGTGGGTGGCCCGCCTGCCTCCCACTGCAGCTCCGGCCAGGCAGTCCCTGGAACTGCAAATGGGCAATGGCCACAAGAACCAGGCTGGAGTTCCCCTGGGGATGAGGACAAGTCCTGGAGCCTTCGAAGAGGACACTTCTGCCCCGGATGCTCGGCCCAACACTCATCTCCCACCCCAGCCGAGGCTCCTGCCTTGGTTCTCAGGCTGATCCTGGTCACTCAGCACTGGGGCCTGTCCACGAATGCCTTGCTGCCTGAGATTGGGCCACCTGACTTCTCTCCGGCTTCTCCTTCCTGGGTGGCCAAAGACAGAAGTGTCAAGGGACAGAGTTGAGAAGGGGTGGTCTGAGCCCTGGCTTAGCTGGGAGCTAGGAGGTTAAGATGGAGGAACACAGGACTATCTTTCTCGGTTTCAAAACTGATAGGCTGAAGACCAAGGGTCAAGCAGAGGCCCAGGCTGCTGACCCCATTGCCCATCACAGGGCTTCTCCTACCACTGGTGGCTTCAAGCCTGGAGATGCCATGCTGGGTGGTAAACTTAGACCATCCTCCACCCGCCCCTAAGGCTCCTAAGAGAAGCTGCCTGCCCCTAAGCCATGAGCCCACTTGGCTCAGGGCTCCAACAGCATGGGGGCCTCTGCCGTCGGACCTGCCCAATGGGATGGATGGAAGTCTGAAGACAGGCTGGACCCAGGACAGTTCTCTGCCTCCGGACCCTGGCAGGGCCAAGACTGGGGTCTCAACCCCCATGGGGGAGCTGAGGATTCTGGTCCAGCAGGAAACCACCTTGGTATTTCCAGCTTCAACCAGCCCCGGTCCCTGTAGGTTCCACACTGAGGGTTCTCTCAGTTGAGTTAATGTTTGACTCCCAAAAGGAAACCGTACAAGTCACGGGGAGAAAATCCCCCAGGGCAAAGCAGTAGGCACCCAGGTTAGATGGCACCCCACAAGGTGTTCCAGATTCCACCCGGGTTCGCTGGTTTCTGAGGCAATAAGTGACCCAGTTTTCCCCTTGAGGCACTTATTTTGGAGCAGGCAGAGCAGGAAGAAAACGGGGACCTAGGGTGTGCTCTGAAGGTCTCCTGGAGGTGCAGTCCCTTTAGCTCTTCTGAGCAAGCCCTAGCTGTGACCTCATGGTGACCTTTCTCCCTGGAGTCTTCCAGCTCTAGTGACTTTTTTTTCCTTTTCAGTTTTTTAGTTGTAGATGGGCACAACACCTTTATTTCATGTACTTTTATGTGGTGCTGAGGATCGAACCCCGTGCCTCACATTTGCTAGGCAAGTGTTCTACCTCTGAGCTACAGCCCCAGCCCCTCTAGTGACTTATTCTCCAGAGGCTGCTGTCCCTGCATGTAGCAAGTAGTGAGATGAGAGCCTTTCCCCTTATTAAAGAGATTTTTTGTGTGTGCCCCCATAACACACCCCACCTTCCTTCTTCCTGACTCAAAGGGGAAACCAGAGGAGGGATGCCCAGGAGGCTAATGAACACAGTAGGGCCACGTGGATCTCCCAGTCCTCCCCCAGTAGGGGGCTGCAAAGGAGGACCCCTTCTCCTCCTGGCTGCAAGGATTCTTAGCAGCAGGGTGCTATGTGAGCAGTCAGGGCCCCTGGAGCGCACCTCCAAAGGGGTGTGTGGTTTACTGGCTTTCTCAAACCGCTGGGACTTTTTTTTTTTGCTGGACCTTTATATGTGGTGCTGAGAATTGAACCCAGGGCCTCACACATGCTAGACGTTAGTCAGGCACTCTACCATTGAGCCACAACGCCAGCCCTAAAACAGGGTCTTACTAAGTTGCTGAGGGTCTTGCTAGGTTGCCTAGGCTGTTCTCAAACTTGCAATCCTCCTGTTTCAGCCTCCCAAGTCTCTGGGATGACAGGCATGTGCCATCACACCAGGGAGCAGTCTGTTTTTAACCACTATGCTACACAGCCTCTTGTATAATGTGTTCATTGTGGAGAACTCACACAATATGGAAATAAAACCACCCATGTTCTACTCCCTCAAGACCCTCTCCTGCAGTGTTTCCTTCAGTCTTGAGCACAAAGCCGTGGGTCAGCTGGAGATGTAGAACACCAGGAAACAGTTACAACTCATATGTTTTCCTAAGTTACCTTCAAAATGCAAAAATAATTTGTTCATTGTAGAATGCATAATGTAACAAGCTACAAATGAGTCCTATGGCTTTGTTTAATCTCTCTTCCTGGTTCCCACTAAAGGTGGTGGCAAGAGGCAACCCAGCCAAAGCCATGTTACTCCAAGTTCCACCCGCCCACACACAGGAGGGTGCTAGCAGGGCCAAAGGATGGTGCAGTATGTCATCATCCGTTCCCACAGGTGGACAGGGTGGGAAGCAGGACCAGATGACAAGAGCCTGGGCAGGAAGCTTTGGTCTTCTCTCCACCAAAGGGTGGGATGCTTGGGGCTGAGCGTGGGGGGAGGAGTCCGTGGGAGCCCCGCAGAGGCCCTGCCCGGCATAGTGGGAGGTCTCCAAGACCGCATAGACTCACCTCTGCACTCTTCCCGGGAGGAAGGCAGATGTGTTTCCCTCCTTTCTGTGCCCATAATGCACTCTGCGTGTGCCCCTCCTGGCACCCACATTGCCTGGTGTTTTGTATAAGAATTCCCCATTAATGCCTGCCTGACACAGCCGGTGCTTAATAGGAGTTGATACCAGGACTGAAGGAATTGGATCCTTTCCTGGGTCAGGTAAGGCCAGGTGTAGGTGGCCCAAACACAGAGCTCCCTGCTTCCTTCTCCCTCACTACCCCTTTCCTCCTCATGAAGCTAAGACACTGTGCTGACTGCAGCTAGGTGGGGGCAAAGGACCTGCTGTGTCTACCTCTATTTCCACCTCCCCTAGAGCTTGAAGGTTCTCCAGGACAGGTGTGGGAGGGGAGAGACACCCACCTCTACCAACGTGTTTCCTGACCTGCAAAATGGCATGCGTAGAGGCTGGGCATGAGGGTGAGTGCCCGTAATCCTCACGTCTCAGAAGGCTGAGGTAGGAGGATGGCAAGTTCCAGGCCAGCCTCAGCAATTTAGGGAGGCCCTAAGCAACTTAGAACCTGTCTCAAAATACAAAAAAGGGCTAGGGCTGGGGCTCAGTGGTTAAGCACCCCTGGGTTCAATCCCTAGTACCAAAAAAAAATATGCATAGGGACACCATTCATACCTGTTGAGGACCCTAGACTCCCTGGGCTTCTCAGATCTGGCAGTTGGGAAACAAGCGGCGCTTTGGGCAAGGCAGGGACCATGGGTGAGGCCAGGGAAGGTGTGAACTCAATATTCAACCTAAGTAATATTTTAATGTAACATTTCTCAAAACTAAACAATGCAAAATCCCACAGCAGACAAAATATTAAAATTGTAAATAAAGACCAGGCCTGAGCTGGTGCTGGAACACCATGCCTCACCCCCTGACACTAATCCCAGCCCTGGTTCCAAAGAAATTTATTCACAAAACCAGGTTACCACTTCCTGGGCCATAGTTTGCATTAATTTTTCCACCTTGATCACTGAGCTTTTTGGTGTCCCCCTTACATATTGAGCCCCAGGCAAGTGGCTTGGCCCCTTCACCCTAGCTGGAGGTGACACAGTTCTGGAGGATGCTCACAGAATTGAGTGGCTGGATGATTGGGAGCTGTCCCGCAGGGGAAAGAGGTCACGCCCCAGGGCTGGGGGTGCAGCTCAGTGGCACGGCACTTGCCTAGCACGTGTGGAGCCCTGGGTGTCATCCCCAGCATCAAAAAACAAAAGCAAAAACAGAACAACCTAAGTGCTGAGAGCAACCCTGGTGTTACTAACGCCCACGTGCACTGCTGCCGTGAAGTTCAAATAACTTCGTCTACAGTTCCTGTTTGCCAAAATAAATAGCAATCCAAGCGCCAGAAGCCCAAGGGCACAGTTTTAACAGCTTCTGGTGTCCTGCCAAGTGCTTCTGGAGGCGGCATCTGCCTCATGAAGTGGCTACAGGCTCTTCCTACCTGGAGGACAAGTGTCTTTGTTGCTTTTGCGTCTCACACAGCAATCCCTGGAGATGACACCGACGGCTAGATTTCTGCTCCAGTGTTCCACACAAGTACGCTGAGTAGCTCCTGGCTCCGTGTCCCCTGGGTGACATGAAGCTTGGCACAGAGGGTATGGCAGGAAGCAAGATAGACCCAGTCCCTGCCCCGGGATAGCTTCAAGGGTGGGGGGCACACTGGACATCAGTCACAATGGTGACCCCACTGAGCTACACACCGAGGATAAAGAGGTGGCCATGGAGCCATCTGACTGGAAGTGTCAGGGCTAAGGTTGACCTGAGGTAGGGAGGAGGTCCCTGCTGGTGGGAGGGGAGATGGTGGGAAAGCACGTGGACCAAAACCAGGCAGCCTGGTTCAAATCATGGCTCTGCCACTTGCCACTGTATGGCCTTAAGCAGACTAGCTAGCTTCTCTGTGCCTCTCTTGGGGGGAGGGATAATGACAGTATCCACCTCACAGCAGATTTAGTAAGTCGATCTGTGTACTGACTGGACGTCCTCATTCAACAAATAAGACTGGGGAGGGGACAATTCTTTCATACCATGTGTCAGGTAGTAGGGACCCACTGGTGAGCTAAGAGACTAGTCCCTACCCTCACAGAGCTTGTGACCAAGTGATGCAGAGAATAATCATGGAATTCTTTAAATCAGGTATCAGCAAATTATAGACCACCACTTGTTTTTGTGTGACTTGTGAGTTAATAATGGTTTTTCTATTTTTTTTTATCAGTTGGATGAAAAACCAAAAGCAGGATATTTTGTGAAATATGAGAAATAGAGGGAGCCGGGAGCCGGGAGCTGGGCATGGTGGCACATGCCTATAATCCAGTAACAGGGAGACTGAGGTAGGAGGATTGCAGGCTAGAGGTCAGCCTCAGCAACTTCCTGTCTCAAAAATTAAAAGGACTGGGATGAAGCTCAGTGGTAGAGCACTTGCCTGTGTGCACACAGCCCCAGGTGGGGCCACATTGCCTGGGTTTGGATGTTGCTGAGTGGCTAGGGCCCCCTCAGTGCCTTCTTGTCTCTAGGCCCTTCCTTCTGCCCCTGCTGCAGGGACAGCTTCTCTGTCCTCTCTCCACGGAGTCTTGACGAGGCTGCTCCCCTCGGCTTCGCTGCTACACTTTCAGATTCATCTCCCATTTTCCAGGTCTTCCCCAGGAAGCTTCCCTGGCGTTGAGCCCCCAGACCACTCTGCCCCCGCCCTGGCAGAGCTTCTGGTCTGTTACCATTTCCCAGCACCACACACACACACACACAAAAAAAAAAAACTAGCGAGGGAGAGAGACAGAGACAAAGAGAGACAGAGAAGCTGTGGCAGAGAAGGACAGTGTCCACACAAGTTCTGGTCAATGCTGGGTTTTAAGAGCCTCTGAGGCGGGGCTGCGGTTATGGCTCAGCGGTAGAGTGCTCTCCTTGCATGTGCAAGGCCCTGGTTCAATCCTCAGCACCACATAAAAAATAAGTAAATAAAACAAAGTTATGTAAAAAAAAAAAATGTCAGTCTGCTGTCCTTGAAGGAATAGTATTAAAAAAAGCCTCCCAGGCATACAAGTACAGGTGCAGATTGGATATCAGGTCCAGACTTATTAGATGTGGAACTGTCAGTGTGCAGGTGGGAGGGGGTGGTGGGAGAGGGGTGGTGGATGGGCTGAGACAGGGAAGGTGAAGGTCAGCTGCAGGTTCACCTTTCAAAAATCGAGGGCTGGGGAAGGACAATCACAAATTCAAGTCCAGCCTCAGCAACTTAGTGAGACCTTGTATCAACAAATAAATAAATAAATAAGGGCTGGGATGTGGCTAGTGGTAAAAGCCCCACTGGATTCAATCTCCAGTATCACCCCCGCCCCCCCCCCAAAAAAAAATAAAAATAAACAAGAGCAGAGCAATGACCAGTGACCAGACGACGGAGAGGAAATTCAGAAGAGAATTACACCACGCAGGTCAAGGAGAGTGCGTTTTAAGGAGGAGGAGGGCAGCATGGTGAATTATGCCTGTAATCCCAGAGACTCAAGAGACTGAGGCAGGAGGGTGGCAAGTTCAAGGCCAGCCTCCACAATTTGTCAAAGGAAGGGCTGTGTCTGGGGCTCAGGGGTAAAGCACTTGCCTAGCATGTGCAAGGCCCTGGTGATGCAGCACCTGGAGGGAGAATAGGAAACAAGGCCTGGGGATGTGGCTCAGGGGGTAAAGTGCCCTGGTTTCAGTGCCCAGTATAAAGGAGGAGGAGGAGGAGGAGGAGGGTGGGGGAGGAAGTGGAGGGGAAAGAGTCTGTGGTATCAGAAAATGCCAGGCGCGGTAGCACAGGCCTGTAATCCTAGCAGCTCGGGAGGCTGAGGCAGGAAGATCACGAGTTCCAAGCCAGCCTCAGCAAAAGCAAGGTGCTAGCAACTCAGTGAGACCCTGTGTCTAAATAAAATACAAAATGGGGCTGGGGATGTGGCTCAGTGGTCAAGTGCCCCTGAGTTCAATCCCTGGTGCCCCTCCCCCAAAAAAGAAAGAAAATGCTACAACCCCCCACAGGGAAGAAGACGGAGAGGGCAAAGCCAGGGACACTGAGGAAAGCCCCTCAGGGAAGGTGGGCATCCATAGAGCCACAAGTGCTCACTGGACACCTGTATGGGATTGGACAGTGTCCTCCCAAAATTCATGTCCACCTGGAATGTGACCTTCTTTAGAATAGGATCTAGGATTATTCTTTTTTTTTTTTATTATTTTTTAGTTTTCGGCGGACACAACATCTTTGTTTGTATGTGGTGCTGAGGATCGAACTCGGGCCGCACGCATGCCAGGCGAGCGCGCTACCGATTGAGCCACATCCCCAGCCCTAGGATTATTCTTTATAACAGAAAATAGGCACAGAGGGAGGACGCAGGCCCAGACTAGGAAGGCGTGTGCGCTGTCCAGGGAGCACCAAGGACTACTGGTCACCACTGGAGCTGAAAGGCCTGCATGGAGTCATTCTCAGAGATTCAAGGCACAACCA